CACCAGCTCCAGCACCAGCACCAGCACCAGCACCAGCACCAGCACCAGCACCAGAAAATAGGACTTACCTTTCTGGCAGGTTGGCCCTGACCATCCCGGGTAACAATCCGTACTATTACATCCATTGACATCATGACACTCAGCTGGAGGACAGTTGCAATGGTATGCACACTGGAAGCCGTAGGTGCCCCCAGAACACGTGGCTGCTATATAAAAAATATTATATTAGATATATTCAACGAAGGATTATCAGAAAAAACTGCAATGGTCTGATCGACATCGCTGATGTCTGTAAAAGAAATTCCCAAAGTATACTGGTTTCAGGTTCATGCAAAACTCATATATGCGTGTTTGTCATATCGTCTATCATAAGTAAAGCATGAAACATAGTGCCAACATGCTCTGCAGGTCATCGGAAAAGCATGCCATACAGCAGTATTACATATCACGTCCTTCTCTTCAAAGTACCCCTTACATTTATTGAATGGCTTGAAGAGGGCTGCTTTTAGGGTCACTGACCGGATCTTCCACAACTACTGTCTGTATGTTGACACGCTGACAGCTACTGTGTGTATGTTGACACGCTGACAGCTATTCCATGTATATGTTGACATGCTGACATCGAATATGTGTATTTGGGCATGCTGACAGCTTCTATATGTGTGTTGACATGATGTCAGCTAAAATCTGTATTTCACAGGTTTATAGCTATAATGTGTATCTCAAAATGTTGACAATTACTATGTATATGTTGACATGCTGACATCGAATATGTGTATGTTGACATTCTGACAGCTACTATGTGTATGTTAACATTCATACAGATACTGTGTATGTTGACACGCTGACAGCTATTATGTGTATGTTGGCATGCTGACAGCTACTATGTGTATGTTGGCACGCTGACAGCTATTATGTGTATGTTGGCATGCTGACAGCTACTATGTGTATGTTGATGTGCTGACAGCTACTATGTGTATGTTGATATGCTGACAGCTACTATGTGTATGTTAGCATGCTGACAGCTACTATGTGTATGTTGACATTCTGACAGCTAATATATGTATATGTTGACATGCTGACAGCTACTATGTGTATGTTAATATGCTGAGAGCTATACCATGTATATGTTGACATGCTGACATCGAATATGTGTATTTTGGCATGCTGACAGCTTCTATATGTGTGTTGACATGATGTCAACTAAAATCTGTATTTCACAGGTTTATAGCTATAATGTGTATCTCAAAATGTTGACAGCTACTATGTGTATGTTGGCATGCTGACAGCTACTATGTGTATGTTAACATTCATACAGCTACTGTGTATGTTGACACGCTGACAGCTATTATGTGTATGTTGACATGCTGACAGCTACTATGTGTATGTTGACATTCTGACAGCTACTATGTGTATGTTAACATTCATACAGATACTGTGTATGTTGACATCCTGACAGCTATTATGTGTATGTTGATATGCTGACAGCTACTATGTGTATGTTGATATGCTGACAGCTACTATGTGTATGTTAGCATGCTCACAGCTACTATGTGTATGTTGACATTCTGACAGCTAATATATGTATGTTAGCATGCTGACAGCTACTATGTGTATGTTGACATTCTGACAGCTAATATATGTGTATGCTGACATGCTGACAGCTACTATGTGTATGTTGATATGCTGAGAGCTATTCCATGTATATGTTGACATGCTGACATCGAATATGTGCATATTGGCATGCTGACAGCTTCTATATGTGTGTTGAAATGATGTCAGCTAAAATCTGTATATCACACGTTTATAGCTATAATGTGTATCTCAAAATGTTTTCCATTAAAAGACAGTGTTTGTTTGATGCTTAACCCAGCACCTACACCATTTCCATTAAAAGACAGTGTTTGTTTGTTGCTTAACCCAGCACCCACACCATTTCCATTAAAAGACAGTGTTTGTTTGTTGCTTAACCCAGCACCCACACCATTTCCATTAAAAGACAGTGTTTGTTTGTTACTTAACCCAGCACCCACACCATTTCCATTAAAAGACAGTGTTTGTTTGGTGCTTAACCCAGCACCAACACCATTTCCATTAAAAGACAGTGTTTGTTTGTTGCTTAACCCAGCACCCACACCATGTCCATTAAAAGACAGTGTTTGTTTGTTGCTTAACCAGCACCAACACCATTTCCATTAAAAGACAGTGTTTGTTTGTTACTTAACCAGCACCAACACCATTTCCATTAAAAGACAGTGTTTGTTTGTTGCTTAACCAGCACCAACAAATACGCCTGCCATACGGCGGCTTCCTGTAAACAATGACCAGACAATCCAGTGATAGGTATCATGAGCTAAGTCGACATCGTCACAAAGTCTCACCACCAAATCCACTTCAGTAAGTGCAAGTGAGAAAGGACGCATGAAAACTCCCAGTAAAGGTCATAGTATTGGATAATATCCCATATCACAATGAAACGCTACGTGTCATTTTAAGTAAATGTATGTGAATGTACTGTCTGGAACGACTTAACATTTGGTGGTGAAAGCTTGACGCTGAGTCTGATGGTCTATTGCTCGACATGTCACCACGGTAAAATCTTGGTACATCATTTTGATTTTTTTGCATGGCTTTAGATAAGAACACTGAATGAGATGTCAACACCCAGTCATTTATCCATCTGAACTACCGGGTTTGTAAACTAGCAACATAGTTGAATGTCGTCATAGGCTCCGCTTTGCGGAGTTGTGGACATGGGGTGTGGTTTTCTAGAAATATCCATTTCCCTTGCGATAAACATCATTGAGTTTGGTTACAATCCGGGTAATCTTTAGTAGTTAGGTGACTATATTTAGGCTTAATTTAGCAGCGTCTGCAGCCTGCGTGCATTACCAGCAGAAACTGAAAGAAAACATGTGCAGATGATGTGTTAAGGCGCAATTGACCAGGGTCTTTGCTTAATATAATCTCTTGTGGTCATCTGACTCTCGATTCTTACCCGGATTGAAACCACGTGATCACATCTGCAGTCTATGCAGCTTTCTTAGATAATGAAAAAGCATTCGATAGGATATGGCACGATGGATTATTTTACAAACTACATAAACTGGGCATTAGAGGTAATACATGGAAATTACTACATCATTGTTATACAAATAGTTATGCTTATATTTCCTACCAAGGTGAACAATCAGACAGATATATGGTTCAACAAGGGATTGGCCAAGGCAGAGTTATCTCTGCTTGTTTTTTTCTTGTTTTTATAAATGACCTCATTAGAGCCCTTAGACAAGAACAATGTGGCATTCGTTCATATGGTATGGATATTCCTGCAGTCTTGCTTGCCGACGATACTACATTTATTAGCGCACCACCGAGAGGCTTACAAACATCCCTGAATATTGTACATACATATGCCTCAAGGTGGCGCCCAACATATAATCCATCAAAAAGTGCAATAATTGTGTTCACCAAATCAAAACGCAAGGGGTATAACTGTTATTGTAAACTTGGTAATACACACATTACTACAACTGACTCTACGGTGTATGGTGGAATACTTCTAACATACAATCTGTCCTATAAAACAAAAATTGAAAAGAACTGTCAGAAAGCAAAACAAAATATTAACTCCCTAAGATCTTTAGGATGAAATAATTATGATCTTCATCCAATTTCCAGTGTGAAAATATGGCTCAGAATGATACTCAAAACCAGCCTTTATGGATGTGAATTACTCTATGACATCAAGGGTCAACATGCCGCTCTGTTGGAAGGCACACAAATATATTTTGCAAGCATTGTACAGGGTCTTGATAAAAGATCTCCTTCAGAATCTACTATTTCGAACCTTGGACTTTGAACAATTACTGCATATATTGATAAATGCAAACTTTTCTTTCTTGGTCGTTAATGCAATCTTAACTGTAATAACTTTGCAAAAAATATTTTTGTGCGTTCATTGCAAGCCCTGTCAATTCAAAGACAATCTGTGGAGAACTTAAATCAACACTTGATAAATACAATCTGGGTCACTACCTTCGTACATACACTCAGTACGGTACTTTCCCTCCAAAATTGCAATGGAGAAATCGTGTTAACGAAACTATATGCAAATACGAAGAACAATCATGGCTCACAAATGTATCAAATAACGCAAGCATGTCCCGTTATAAGAGAATTCATACGAAATTAGCATACCATGTACTTTGGCATTTAGCTTTTCTGTACCCGGAATATCGACCTACTTTACAACTCAGTGTGAAAGTCTCATCACGCAGTAAACCTTCGAAAGAGTGCATGCTCTGTAATAGGCATGCTTTCGACTGTGACAGCCACATTATTTTACATTGTGAAGCTCTGATATCAGAAAGAAATGCGTTTTTCTCTGCTCTCATTGACGTACTTGACGTTCAAAAATATGTTGATTTTGAAATGGAAGACGAAACAGATATGTTATCAGTCTTATTTGGGGCTGAAACAACATTTACTCACAATCTGGATCAACACACCTGGGAAACTATTACACTACAATTCGCCTCGTATCTGTACAAACTAAGGCATCTTTTAGTGAATGTCTGTCTTCATTTAGGTATCTGAATTTGATAAACTGTGTGTAATTGTAAATATGTTATGCCTTTCTGTATTGTGTTTACTGCGCGTAATTGAATATATTTGCAATGTAAACTTTGGAATGACATCTAGAGGAAATAAAGAATCTCTCTCTCTCTCTCTCTCTCTCTCTCTCTCTCTCTCTCTCTCTCTCTCTCTCTCTCTCTCTCTTGATATTAATGAAAACAAAAGTGACATACCTGTCGCAGCTACAACAAACAGCGACAGAGCGACGAGAACACCTCCTCGTACGTTCGCCATACTGCATTACTGTACCGAGGCTGCCAACCAGGAAGTATTATCCTTCTCGGATGAAGAACAAAAACTCAGCATGAAACAGCACGGACGGAATAAGGTTACAACCACGCCCTCTACATAATATTCAACTCAGGGCCTCCTACCAACAAGCAGCCATGCATGCTACCCTTTATAACATAGCATATCTGCCTTGTTGATAAAACTTCCACCCGTATGTTGATGTGAACACATGCTTCATGCCTGGGTGAGTAAATATAGTAGGTGTTGATTCATTGCCTGCTGTGACGGGGAAATTTCACGCTTATCAAATACATAATTGAGACGAAAATGTTGACTACCACTTTGCTCTAGGGACGGATCATTTGAAATTCGGAGGGGTGGGCGGGATGTGTGAAGTGTTGATAATATATAACATAAAACTATAAGCTAAAAGTCTTTAAAACTTTATTTTACAGTTAATAGTTTGAAGCATAAATACCACCCCATGCCACCCCACCCCACCCCACCCCAATGAATATCAAATGGTCGGTCCCCTATGTGTGTACCTGTTTCAAAGAAGCATATACAGATCTACCCGAAGTAGAATTTGAAAGCCCCTTGAACGTGTGTTTCACACGTCCACCAATGTAACGTGGATGTCTATTGCCAGAAAAGTAAACTTTCCTTTGACAGTTTCAACTGTATTCATAAACACATCCTTGCCTCAGCCTTAACAATAGACGGAAAGTACAGGCCACAGGCGCTCGCTCATCCAGAACAAGTAGGCGTGTATAGTGACACTTCCTTATTTGAGCTACACAAAGATTGTTGAGTGAGTGAGTATGGTTCTAATAATAAGTTCATTTATACTGCGCGTGGTTCCATTCACCAAAAGGCGACTATGCTTGTCGTAAGAGGCGACTAACGGGATCGGGTGGTCAGGCTCGCATGTCATCGACCCCACTTGCTGAGTGCGGCGTTAAACAACAAACCAAACCAAACCAAATCCATTCACCAAGTTAATGCCGATGGCGCTACATAGTTTTAGCAAATAATGTTGATGAAAGGTGAGTAGAGCTGGATTGTATAGTGTTGTCTGAAAAGGTATGTTTTCAGATGGGCCTTAAAGGACAGCTTAAGATCAGATGGTAGTTTGTTCCATAGCGAGGAAGCGCAGAACTGGAAAGTTCTCTGACCAAAGGTTTTGAGACAGGTTTCCGGGACTTGTAACAGGTGGTTATTCTGAGAACGGAGAGATCTGGAAGGCTTGTATTTAGTCAGTAGTTCTACGCCGCTATTAGCAATATTCCATTCCCAAGCCATGGGCTTCACATATTGTACCATGTGGGGAATCGAACCCGGCCTTCGGCGTAAAGAGCGAACGATTTAATCACTAGGCTACCCCACCGCCTCTAAAATTGTTGAGCATGCATTGATGACTATGAAGATCATGACCCTTGGTGTTAATCCATTTTAACACACCACTCCAAGCTTTTATTGAAGACAAATGTGGAAATACATTGAAGTTGCTTATAAATGCATACATGGTTGTATATACCACAGAGGGACCGCTGGCACAGCTTAAGATGAGGCGAAAGCGGTTGTAGCCAAGTTCGTACAGCCATGCTATCAGCTGATCTGCTTGTGCACATAGGCGTTACCTGTCTGCATCAGGTGCAAACAATGCAATCAAATAGGTCAGGGTAACCATACGCCAAAGCACGACTGATAATCATAAGTGCATTGTCTTGTGTGCTTTGATTGGAGTGTGTCACGAACTCCACCAAGCACCAACGCCCCAGCATACAGTGAGCTTTTAAATGCTTTGTTTGTTTGTTGTTTAACGCCGCACTCAGCAATATTCCAGCTATTTGACGGCGGTCTGTAAATAATCGAGTCTGGACCACTCAATCCAGTCGCAATTTGGATCGATGACATGCATCAACCAAGTCAGCGAGCCTGACTTGGTTGATGTATGTCATCGTATCCCAATTGCGTGAATCGATGCTTATGATGCCAATCACATGATGGCTGGTCCAGACTCGATTATTTACAGACTGACGTAATATAGCTTGAATACTGCTGAGTGCGGCGTTAAACAACAACCAGAAGAGTACATGCCTGACACACTCGGGTCTCCCACAACCAGAAGGGTACATGCCTGACACACTCGGGTCTCCCACAACAAGAAGAGTACATGCCTGATACAATCGGGTCTCCCACAACAAAAAGAGTACATGCCTGACACACTCGGGTCTCCCACAACCAGAAGAGTACATGCCTGACACACTCGGGTCTCCCACAACAAGAAGAGTACATGCCTGACACACTCGGGTCTCCCACAACAAGAAGAGTACGTGCCTGACACACTCGGGTCTCCCACAACAAGAAGAGTACATGCCTGACACACTCGGGTCTCCCACAACAAGAAGAGTACATGCCTGACACACTCGGGTCTCCCACAACAAGAAGAGTACATGCCTGACACAATCGGGTCTCCCACAACCAGAAGGGTACATGCCTGACACACTCGGGTCTCCCACAACAAGAAGAGTACATGCCTGACACACTCGGGTCTCTCACAACAAGAAGAGTACATGCCTGACACACTCGGGTCTCCCACAACCAGAAGAGTACATGCCTGACACACTCGGGTCTCCCACAACCAGAAGAGTACATGCCTGACACACTCGGGTCTCCCACAACAAGAAGAGTACATGCCTGACACACTCGGGTCTCCCACAACAAGAAGAGTACATGCCTGACACACTCGGGTCTCCCACAACAAGAAGAGTACATGCCTGACACACTCGGGTCCCCCACAACAAGAAGAGTACATGCCTGACACACTCGGGTCTCCCACAACAAGAAGAGTACATGCCTAACACACTCGGGTCCCCCACAACAAGAAGAGTACATGCCTGACACACTCGGGTCTCCCACAACAAAAAGAGTACATGCCTGACACACTCGGGTCTCCCACAACCAGAAGAGTACATGCCTGACACACTCGGGTCTCCCACAACCAGAGGAGTATATGCCTGACACACTCGGGTCTCCCACAACCAGAAGAGTACATGCCTGACACACTCGGGTCTCCAACAACCAGAGGAGTACATGCCTGACACACTCGGGTCTCCAACAACCAGAAGAGTACATGCCTGACACACTCGGGTCTCCCACAACAAGAAGAGTACATGCCCGACACACCCGGGTCTCCCACAACCAGAGGAGTATATGCCTGACACACTCGGGTCTCCCACAACAAGAAGGGTACATGCCTGACACACTCGGGTCTCCCACAACCAGAAGAGTACATGCCTAACACACTCGGGTCTCCAACAACAAGAAGAGTACATGCCTGACACACTCGGGTCTCCCACAACAAGAAGAGTACATGCCTGACACAATCGGGTCTCCCACAACCAGAAGGGTACATGCCTGACACACTCGGGTCTCCCACAACAAGAAGAGTACATGCCTGATACAATCGGGTCTCCCACAACAAAAAGAGTACATGCCTGACACACTCGGGTCTCCCACAACCAGAAGAGTACATGCCTGACACACTCGGGTCTCCCACAACCAGAGGAGTATATGCCTGACACACTCGGGTCTCCCACAACCAGAAGAGTACATGCCTGACACACTCGGGTCTCCCACAACCAGAGGAGTACATGCCTGACACACTCGGGTCTCCAACAACCAGAAGAGTACATGCCTAACACATTCGGGTCTACCACAACCAGAAGAGTACATGCCTGACACACTCGGGTCTCCCACAACAAGAAGAGTACATGCCTGACACACTCGGGTCTCCCACAACAAGAAGATAGGACTCTAATGGTTGGTTGGTTGGTTTGTTGTTTAACGCCGCACTCAGCAGTAATCCAGCTATATATGACGGCGGTCTGTAAATAATCGAGTCTGAACCAGACAATCCAGTGATTAATATCATGAGCATCGATCAACGCTATTGGGATCGATGACATGCATCAACCAAGTCAGCGAGCCTGACCACCCGATCCGGTTTGTCGCCCTTTGCGACAAGCACAGTCGCCTTTTACGGCAAGAATGGGTTGCTGAAGACCTATTCTACCCAGGAATCTTCACAATGATACACTACAGGTCAAGTCATTTTGGAAGTGTTTGTTTTGTTTGTTTGTTTGTTTGTTTATTTGTTGTTTAACGCCTCACTCAGCAATATTCCAGCTATATGACGGCGGTCTGTAAATAATCGAGTCTGGACCAGACAATCGAGTGATTGACATCATGCGCATCGACCCACGCAACTGAGATACGATGACATGCATCAACCAAGTCAGCGAGCCAGACCACCCGATCCCGTTAGTCTTTACCACAAGATTAGTCGCCTTTAACTGCAAGCATGGGTTGCTGAAGACCTATTCTACCCCGAATCTTCACGGGTCCATTTTGGAAGTGATACATATTAGGAAGAGAATTTATGGATGTCAACTTCTTTATTATGAGGAGTACAACGTTCTGGAGTATATACTTACTCCTTTATCAGGTCACCTGTTGAAGGAGTAAGTATTTACTGCGAAATATCTGTTTATTTGTTGTTTAACACTCAGCAATATCCCACTTGTGTGGCGGCGGGCTGTAAATAATCGAGTCTGGACCAGACAATCCAGTCATTGACATCATGAGCATCGATCCACGCAATTGGGATCGATGAAATACATCAACCAAGTCAGCGAGACCGACCACCCCATCCCGTTAGTCGCCTCTTACGACAAGCACAGTCGCCTTTTACGGCAAGTATTGTTATAAATGCATCCCCAAAATCTTAGAAAAGTATAACAAAGTCAAACTTTAAATTGATGGTTAGCTTTAAAAACGATGGTAACATAAAACCAAAGTGTTGGCGCAAACAAGCAGGAAATCAATAGGATGATGATAGTGACAGGATATTTTGGGATAGCTTCGGTGGTGTTGTCACCAATTAATCAATAGACATCTTCAATCGGTCAGTAGGTTCCGGTAGTTTGCTGATCACGACGCAAACACGTGTTCATGGTCTGATATTGTTCTTTACCAATTAAAATGATCTATGAGGACATGTGACATAGACACGCCAGGCCCGAACACGTCAAAATGATACCGTCAACATAAAAAGAGGAGAGCGCGGTTTTCAGCCGATCGAGTCGAACCACGCTCGTTCTAAGTTCTCCCCATTTAGTGATGAGCTTGGCCG